TGGGCTTATATCTGGAAAGGATGAAAACTCTAATTTGAAAAGATGTATGTACCCTAATGTTCATAGCAGCACTATTAACAACAGCCAAGACATGGAAGCAAACTAAGCGACCATCAACAGATGGATAAAGATGTGTACACACACACACACGAATATTTCTCAGCCATAAAAAGGAATGAAATCATGCCTTTTGAAGCAATATGGATGGACCTAGAGATTATCATACTAAGTGAAGTAAGTCAAAGATGAATATATCATTTATATGAGAAATCTTAAAAATGATACAAATGTACTTATTTACAAAACAGGAACAGACTCACAGACATAGGAAACAAATTTATGGTTACCAAATGGGAAGAAGGGTTGGGGGACGTATAAATTAGGATTTGGGGATTAACAGATACACATTACTATTATACAAAAAGGACCTACTGTATAGCACAGGAATATCTTGTAATAACCTATAATGTAAAAGAATATGAAAAAGAATATATGTATACATATGAATATGTGATATGTGTATATATTTTACTGAATCACTCTGCTGTATACCTGAAACTAACACAACATTGTAAATCAACTACAATAAATTTCAAAGCTGGTGATTTTAAAAAATTACTGAAAAAAACCCCAACACCCTTAATTTTCATTTACATTTGTAATAGGAAATATTTTAAGTCACTGGGGGAGATGTGCATGGTAACTCCTCCAAATCTGCGAGTAACCTTTAATTAATCTCATTACATGTAACTGCTGTCAAGAGTATGTAAAGAACCAGGTCTATGTGGTGTCCACCTCAAAAGGATATTTAGGGGGCTTCAAGACTTTATGATTAAATCTACATCTCATTTAAAAAAAATTATATATAACTTTTCCCCTGAATTACAGCATTTAAAAACTAAAACCAGGGAAGGAGTGATTGTAAGAAAATTTATCTGAATACTACACATTCTTGACTGGCAAAAAACAAATTTCTTTGAAAATTCTATTCCCCTTCAAGTTTCAGTGAAATGTCACAATAAAATCTACTATGCTAGAGGGTCCAAAAAAGTAGAATTCTTGGATAGTTTTGTAATTCCTGGTGCCATAAAGAGGAATAATCAACATTATTGAGAAAATAACATGCAGTCACCTGGGTTAAGTCACTTATAGAAAATAAAAGTATTTACCAGTAGGAATACTAAAAGCCAGGTAAACTGCTAGATGTTTTTAATCACCCTGTAACATAGATATTACCCCTAAGTAATTCCAAATAAGCAAATACAGTTAAAGTAACTTACTCCTTCAAATGTAGAGAAGACCTGGGACTAAAGTTGCAACATGCTGGTAAGAAGTCCGAGCGCTTTAATTCATTGAACTGCTATTCCAAGGAATCAGCTGACAGGTAACAAATGAACAAAAAGGGCTAGATGCTTCTTACAGTTTTAATCTAGAGGACTGATTAGCTCCAAGTCAAAAAAAAAATTTTTTTTAAGGCACTGATACCTCAGAGGTGCTGTGGATTTCCCACTGCATTGCCTCAGAAGCTTATCAGCACATCTGGTTGTCAATCAGAGGTTTAACTTGATCCCTTCATTATAAAGTCTTCCCTGTTTTCGCCCAATGGTTGTAGCATCCATTGATGACTGATGCCTGAATCTGTTATATCATTAAGAGTTGCAACACATCATATTTCTCACATCTCTTCTGCATTAGAAGGAATTCTATTAAAAAAAAAAACTTCCATTCATTAACTATCAGTTTATAGGGCAAGTGGGAATTAGAGGAATGGACGCCACTCTGATGAAATACTGAATATGGGAAATTCTCTAAAGACAAATGACCAGGTTTTAATTAGCGAAGCAATAAAAAGCAAGGAGGGGAGAAAAAGTACATAGTGATTAAGAGAATTGAGAAAAATCAGCTGTGTGTGCACCCTGACTGGGTACTGATTCAAACTAACTTGGTTACTTTTTAGACAGTCATGAAGCTTTAAACATAAACTATCTTAGATAAAGAATTATTTTGTTAGGTATGCTAATGGTGTATTTTTTTTTTAAAAAAACCTCCTGTTAGAAGATATACAGAAATATTATGGGTGAAATGATCTGGCATTTGTACAGAAAAGCAAGTTGGGGAACAGGTGAAACAAAATGTGCAAAATGTTTTTAATTTTTGAAGCTGGGCTATATATGTATTTAGAAGTTCATTATTCAATTTTTGCAATATATTGTAAAAAACGAATCACCAATATGGAACTAGCCCCAAATGACTCAAATTAAGTGTGCTCACATTAAGATTACCTCTTAACTATGCCCCCAAAGGCTGGACTAAGGAGTGTAAAACTAACTTTTAAACTTCAGCTTCACTCTATAAAAAAGTGAAAAAATAAAACAAACCCCCCCGCCCAACCCAATTAACCAGCCAAATTAAAGTTTGGATTTAAGGATTTAGCTGAAGATAGCAACCTCTTAAAAAACAGTGATCCAAAAGATCAACTCTGAAGAAAATTAAAATTGTTTCTACTGATTTATCCCCAAACATGCAATCTCAACCAACAATGCTATTCACACCTTTTATTGACTCACGAATCCTTCTGACTGTAATATTAAAAAATGTAGGATGTTAAGCAAAGAACTGGATGTTCAAATTTAAAATATCTTACTTGCACCAAATTTTTAAGAATTTTTAAGAATCAGACATTTCAAACTGGAAAGGAGTTAAAAAGCCAGGTCACCTGACAAAGTGTTTCTTCATTCCAGAATTGTCAAGATCAGTTTAAATACAGGTATCTGCCTATCTACTTAAAACAGAGTACGTTTTCAAATGATCATGCCATTTTAGCCGTTTTGATGGTTGAAGGTACTTATCAGCTACTGGAGTAAAGAAAAATGTGGAAAAAATGTAATCTAAGTAATCTAACTATTAGCCATGAATTTTATCCCAGGTCATTTCACAGAACTGTGAACAGGAATCAAACTGAAGTTTTTGACTCAGGTAGGTACATTATCACAAGAAGGCACAATGCTAGAATCTAGGATTGCCGAATTTAAGTCACAATTCAGCCTCAATTACTGGTCTTGGCCACGTCATTTCAAGTTTCTCTAGCATCCAGCTCTTCAAGATTATTCAGAGGAATAGTTTTTAATTGTATGAACTATAAAATTTCACTGGGTAGTTTGCTACTGTCAACTGAGTAATAATAGAAGTCAATTTTATTCATCTACTCCAAAAGTTTTGATCAATACGTGGATGAGAACACCTAAGCAGTAGAAGAAAACACTGGAATTGACCTATTTAGCTTCACTTTTAAAACCAAGTTTGACTTCAATGGAGTTTTTAGAGATAGTAACCTACAAGGCATCAAATTATCAGGGAGAATACCAAGTTACAAATGAGCCGCATTTATGCACTGGGTATTCTAAATCTTTCCCATTAGTACTGATGCTCCTGATACTCTCAAATAAAAACCTGGCACTTTCAAAAAATGAGTTCAGAGGTACAAGGAAAAACACAATTTAAAGAAAACGAAGGTTAGCAGTAGACACTCGTAATGGTATCACAGGTACCACCCTAACCACTAAGCATTTCTCCTGTTCAACCTCATTCATTGAAGTTTCACTTTAATTCCTAAAATACCAGAATTTGGCCTAGGAACTAGAAGACACCCCTAGTGTAGAATGTAAATTCTTATTGGAAGAGAAAAGGGCTAACAATAACTTCTTAGTAAGAAATAATGTGGTTATTTTTCTTTCCTCCTATATCCTGAAATCAGTACTCTGAGAAAGTTTTTGATGGGAGAAAAAGTAAACATTAATTTGGGAACTTGGAGCACTGGTAGGGATAGGTCAGGAGGCTTACGTGATTCAGTGGCTTTGTAGCATGGAAACGGAAGGGAAAATAAAGGATAGCAGAATTCTTAATCTTTATACCACCACCACGTTCAGGAAAAACCTCTTTTTCACATCAAATGCTCCTTTAAAAAAACTTATCACATATAATATAGCTCAACTACATATGGACGACATCAGAGGCCTGAGCATAACTGATGCAATGATTCTCTGGCTAAATTTATTTCAGCTTTCTTAAATTCCTGGTCAAGCTTAGAAACACAGCTTTACTAGATGGGCAAATGCTGCCAGGGGATCACGAAGAGAAGCCCATCTTGATTTCACTATTTGTCATACCAAAAAAATTTCATGTTTTCGTTTAAAATACAGATAAAATTCAAATCTTTGTGTAATGCCCTTTGGAAATGGGAACACTTAACAAAAACCCTGTATCTGGATAATCAGCGATGAATTCTGCAACAAAAAAGATTTCTCACCTGGCAGACTGATCAATAGTTTTGTATTTTTACTAAATTAATTAACATTTACCATGTAGTTTTCAATTTGAAAACAGGTTAACAGTAAGGAAAAAATACCCACAGGCAAATAAAAAGTTCATCATGTTAACCAATCAGGGTCTGGAAACTTCTGCAGAAGTTTCTTCCCACAGTGTTTTACAATCAAATCATCTTTTTCTCCAGCAAAGATTAAAACAAACATTAACTGCTTAATAACAACCTTAAAATTCATACACTAAGGTTTAAGTATTTGTATTTCATGTGATAAGGAAATATACTAGACAATTTCAAATCTCCTGAAGATCTGGCATTAAAGCCCAAAACCTCAGTCATCAGAATTCCTGTTCTTAGTTCGTGACTTGACTACGTAAGTAGCCCTCGGGAAACAGGACTTCGCACGCTTACCTTCCTGCTACGCTTTAATCTTAAATGAAGTGAGCATGTGGTGTTACTAATCTGTCACGACGGACACACTGGATGCCTTTCCCTGATGGCTGCTTATCACCACTGAGATCACCCAATGAAACAGAACACAATACTTGCAACTGAATGAAACTCCATCAGTTAACATTTCCTATGGGTTTTTGCTTTCCAATACCTGCCTACAGAGTTAATAATCCTTATTACCTGTTCAACAATTGCAGAAAAAACTTTTAAAGTGAAGAAAAGTCTGACTTTGAGGTATGTAAAGAATAATCATTAAGGAATGAAGTAGTCAAGATTTTCTTTTACTCAAAAAAAGAAAAAAAATCACTTCAAAGAGTCAACCTCCATGTATAAAAGACAAGATCAATCACATTTGTCACTGGACAGAAAGGATTTTTCCAAAGGTCTTTAAAAATGGTAATTAACCTCAAAAAAGGAAAATTAATTTTAGCTTTTATATTTCATTATCAAGACCATATTCGCTTAACAAGATAATTATGCTATTGATACAAAACATACAGTATTTACACTTAACTGTACAAAATAATTTAATGTTTACAAAAATATTAGAATGTTTAGAGTTGACTGACACAGTCTTAAGTTATCCCTTCTAGAGAAGTATAGTAAGACCACTGATTTCCATTTCATTTCTTTTTTAATAAGTCAAAGAAAGGATGCTGCAGTGCTTCATCCAAGGTAATTCTTTGTACTGGATCGTATTCTAACATTCTTCGAACCAGGTCAAACAGTTTCTCATGTTCTTCATCATGACAAAGCATAAATTCCTGAGGGGAAAAATGATTTTGTTTAAGAAAGACATCAAAAAATAGTTAAAAACAGCTTTTTAAACTTTTTTTTTTTTACCTTTAATGGTTTGCAGCGTCTCCTGACGTATCTACCAGCAGAACTATGTTCATCCCAATCTAGCTGGTTATGATGGAAATACTTGCGCTTTCTACAGCAAAAAGAATACTCGATTAGTTTAAAAAAATTTTTCATGTTTACCCTGCACTCACCAGGAGATGGGGGAAACAGATGGAACCAGGCATCTCTCTCTCACAATTAAAACACATCTCGGCAGCAATTATGCATCAGATACCTTACATGGTATCTTCCTTAATCTTGTACCCTCTGAAGTTCTAGTGTCCCACCTAAGGTGTTCCCAAACAGCACACAAGAAACAACGCAAGCTTCAAAAACAGCGGTTCCTGGATCCATTTAGTGAAACTCTGATTCCACTAAAATTCTGATCTGGAATGGGGCTGGAAATCTTTAAACAACTACCTGGGTGACTCCTGTGAAGTTATGTTTTGAAACCACTTACAGTATCTTGTCCAAAGACATACAGCTGGGTAACAACAGTATGGAATTCAAACTTAGATCAATATGACTCCAAAATTAAACTCTTTTTACTACTCTATGTATTATTTTTACATCAAGTTAGGAAAATATTTATGCAAATGTTACCGTGAGTATAAAAACATCACTCTGTCTACTGGATCACAAAGTAAATACTGTATTACTTTTTAAAAACTTCACTTTGTGGAAAAAAATTCACATCTGCAGTCCCTAGAATAAGCAGTGACAACAAAGATGGGTTTCCTGTAGTTTGAATACAGGCCACTGCATGCACCTAACAAGGGCTTTAGTCACAAAAGGTATACCTTGTTTTCTGAATCATGTGTGTTGGTATGGGTCCTAATATTCGTTCCATCATTGCCAGGTGCTCTTTACTATCATGAGTCTAAAAAAGGAGGAGAAAGAAATTTAGCACTTTCCCTTTCCCGGTATGCACAATAAAGGAAAACACAAGGAAACAGTATTGACATAAAAGGACTAAATATGCCTGGATTAGAAAGCTACACAATTTATATTACACTCTACTTCAAAGATGGAAAAAAACTGAATCAGCTACCTTGTCTGATGCAAATCTAATCAAAGTCTTTCTAGAAAGGATCAGTAAGGTCTGCACAGGGGATGACATAATTTACTCAGTGTAAAACAGTTTTCCCCTATTTATCTGTTATTTCTTACACTATATAACTGAGGGATGACTGGGGAAGATTACCAAAAAACTGTCTCTCATTTAACCTCCATTACCCAATGAATAGCAACCTTGTCACACTCAACTAATCCCAGACAGCCCCAATATACTCATAACCCTAGCTAGGTATGTGGGAACGTGACTTTCAGAGGGTAAGATACTAGCTCAAGGTCACATATAGCTCATAAATGAGGAAACTTGAGCTGTGAACCTGAGACAAAACTCACATTCTTAAACAGTAATAAAGCTTTGCGAAAGTGGAATAAACTTACAGCTGAAATAGGATGCTCCTAGAGCAGAGGCTGGCAAACTTCCTCCGTGAAAGGCCAGACAGTAAATATCTTAGGCCTAGGCGGTCACAAATGGTCTCTATCACATATCCTTTTTCATTTTTTAAAGAAGGCATCAGGCAGGATACAGTTTGCCAACCCATGTTCTGGAGAGCAGAGGCTGTGTGCAATGCTTTTTAAATCTGTCAACTTCTGTGCCTAGTATACACTTTCAAAATGTTGTTCTTAATTCATGACAGGAATAAATAATACAAGCTCCACATTTTCAAGAAGTTCCTTAGCTGAAGACTATTTTGGAGGGTGGAATTCAAATATAAACCACATCTCAAACCAACAGTAATAATCCACACTTAAAGACTTTGGAATGACTTACAATCATAAAACCATTCGAAGGGTCTATTTTATTTAAGTGTCAGAATGAAGAAAGTTCTGCTCAACTTCTTGACCCTACAGCTTTCTACCACAAAACCGGACAGCACCTCCTAGAAATGACCTGCAGCTTCATCTTAGGTCTCTAACTTGTCTACAAACTCAAGAGTACATCTAACAGCTCTCTGCAGACTAGACAGAAGTTTGGTGAGGTGCCCCACAGCAGTGAACACATGTATTCTGCAACAGTCACCTAAGTGACTATAACTTCACCATAGCTTCCCCCCACCCTGCATGCCATAACCTCAAGTCGGCCCTGACATTATTAGCCAGGAACTCCTGAACCACCCTCACCCCACCCATCTACAAACTAGAATGACACACCTTGATCACATCACATCCCAACCCTACAGGAAGTTCTTCAAGGGTTACACTGCTTGAAGCTTTCAAGACTTTAAGTCTTCAGACATAAGTAAAATTATGAGGGAAAAAAAGTGGAGACCTTAACATTTTCTGCTTTTTATTTTGATAAGGACTTTTACTTTAAAAAGCAAGTAACGATTACTGTTTCACTAAAGGGACATTTTAATACCAAAAAAACAGGAAGGCTAACTTCTAAATGAAGGCTAGAATGGCAACCCTAGAAAATCATTTTCATTTTAGACCAGTCCACACTTGGAAACCACTGACTCCTAGGGTAACACAAGTAAATACCTTTCTATGGCAAACAAGTCAGCTATGAATCAGTCCTTGCCTACAGACGTTTCCTATTTATGCAAGACACTCTGACGGCACTATTCCTCCACCCTCGACTCGAGCATCTTTATGCCTCCTGCATTTGTGAATACAATTTCTTCTTCCTGATATGGCATCACACACTCAGGTTTTCTGACAAACTCCTACTCTTTCCTTTGGTATGGCTTAAACTCCCTACTTCTCAGTGATGCCTTCTCTAAGGAAACTTAACTATTCACCTTCTCTGGGTTCCCACCATACTTTCTACGTTGTTCCATTATAGCATATATCACATTGTGCTGTAAGTTTCCCCGTGTCTACCCTGTGCACGACTTCCTTGAGGACAGAGATGTTGTCTTTTCATCTTTACATACTAAGTGCTTAGAAATGTGCCTGGTTTGACAAAGATGCTTAATACAACTCACTATTTCTAAATTCTTTTTAAAAAAGAAGTAACTTGTTCATGGTCATATCAATAGGCAACATAATCAGAACTGAATTAAAACTGGTCACAGTTAGAACTAATGTAAATTTATGGAGCACCACAATTTAAAAAATGGGTCATATGAAGTCAATATGAACCATATGTTTAAAAACTCCATTCACATGCAGGATAAATTATGACCACTCAGCAATGTTTCATTCAACTATGACAGTAGAGAAGGATGACTACTTTGCATATAAGTTTTAATCTTAAGTGACACAATGGCAACTTTTCAATATGGAAACCAAAACTTTAACATGCCTTTAACATATAAAGTTCATTATGAATTAGCAAACAACATTTACTAAATAAATACATACCTGAAAGACTGTGAAACCAAGGTAATACTCAATCAGAATGCAACCTATGCTCCAAACATCACAAGGCTGAGACCAACCTAAAGCTGTTTAAAAACAAAACCAAACACCTTATTATGCAACAATTAAAAACTGCCAACACACTAAACCCTTTCCTGTGTGGGTGCTCTCCTTATACAGCCCTTTTTTAGAGCATATGACAATAAATTCAGGGTTTACATTTTGTTCTATATCCAACATTATTCAGTCTGCTTTCAGTCTTCCATATCCTGATATCAAATTACAGTATTTTAGCCTGCAGGAGGCCGCATTTTATATAAAATAAAAGAGGTGCTAGCAAATATTTCATACTTTCTGCATTCCTTGTGCAATGGGGAGCACTGTTACACCCACTTCATGGTCTTTCCATGAAAGTTTACATTTTATTAGTGCAAATGTAGATGAATAATTATCCTCAGAATGTGATTACTCCTTATCGGTTATCATCAGCTTGATGTCTGAGTTTATTTCTTCCATTAAAAGAAATGTTAGTTTCACATAAATTATGTAAGAATTATACTGGATATTAATAAGCAGTGTCACCTATAAGCAGAATTATACAGCCATTTCAAGTTCAGACAGGGATCTACATACGTACTTTCTGGTTGTCTCTACATGATTATATATACTTTCTCCTTCAGAATCCTCAATAGTAATATTACTCAGAAAAGAAAAACAAACCATTCAGGTGTTTCATTCTTTTAAAGATCAAGTATTTAATAAAACAATAATGTGCAAATAAAACCTACTCTACAAGCCATTTCAATTACTTTCAGTAACATCACTGAATTTAAAGATAAAGGGAGAAACAATATATTCAAGGGACTTGACTCCGACTTAGCTGTTTCTGCCAACTCTCACAGTACCTGTCAGCTGAGCAAACGGATAACGGAGCACGGTTTCGACTCACAGCACCACACACAAAACCTGCAAACCACCCAGCCTGGACCTAAGACGAAGTTTTCTTTTCTAGCCACTCCTCTCTCCCAGCCCAGCTTTCTCCCAGGTGACTGTAACCCTCTGCACCATTCTAACTCATCCCATTTTCTGGTAAGTCAGCTCTCATACTCTTTGGAATTTCGTATCATTCACTTTTACCAGCTTCTCCCTATTTCTGTTTATTACCAACACCCAAGACAGGAGACCAACTGCCCTCCTCAACTGCAGCACCTGACCACCCCTTCCCCTCCAGCCTAACTCTGCCTTCATCTTCAGGACTAACAGTCCACAAACACACGAGAACCGTTCTCATCTTCTCATCTCTTGTACTCTTTTCATCAAGACCACAAACACCAACTTCAGATTTGTATCAACTATTCCCAGCCTGGCCACACTTAGAACTGTATTATCACTAAGAATCACTGTATTTACCCAATTTAGGAGGAGGCCATTAACTAAGCATAAGATGCACCACTGTTATGTATCAGTAACGAAGAAAAAACGCCAACTGTTTTGTGTTGTCCCCCACCATGGGTTAAAATGTGTGGGAAAAATACCTTTCCCAAAATTGATAAAACATAGCAAGTTATCTCCTTCTAAGCTCTGCAAATACCTCTCTGTCCACAGCCTCTTCCCACACTCCTCTCTTTCACCTTCGTTGCAGCCTTCAGTCCTCAGTCATGAATACACTTTCTAAACTATTTCAACACAGTAACTCCTCTCAGACCACACTAAGCAGAAATCCTAGTAACAACCTCAAAGACAAATTCTAAACCTGTTCTGTCCTGTCGTGGTAGCCACTAGCCACGTGTAGCTGTTTCAATCTAAAATTTAATGCAAAATCTAAAATTCAGTTCCTCAGTCACACTAGCTGAACTTCAAGTACACAGTAGTCTACAGTGGTTAATGGTCACCATACTGGACAGCGCAAACAGAACATTCCCACCACCATGGAGAGCTCTACTGGCCAGCACTGCACCACGACCTTGATTTCCTCACCCCTCTGCTGGTCTCTCTGCTCGGTGAGCATCATTAGGTCACTTTCACACTCCTATCCTGAACTACCAAGTCCTACTGGACAAGCTAAAAAGTGGGAACAGCTGATTCCATAAAAATGTTATACTATCTAACTTCAGTTGGCCCTCACTTTTGGCCAAGTAATAAGCTTACTGCATTTAACTATCTCCAAGCCCCCAAACCCACCCTTGATGTCCCCTGCTGTCACCAGTCCTGGTCGCGCTGTCAGACCCTGAGGCACAAGACACACTGTCCCCTCCTGAGCTCCCTCTTTAACACCCTGCACCGACTCATCTTCTGCCCCAGCCTTTCTCACATCAAAGATTATCAGAGAAGCTCTCCCTGACTAGCCCCCCTTCTGCTGTCCTCGACCTCCATCCCCCCCGACATCTAGACGTCTGCCAACCAAATTTTATCGTTTTCACCAGCACCATGCTTTTGTGATGAGACAATAACAGGTACTCATATCACTTTAAAATCACCCTGCTGTGATGTACTTGGCCAATAGAGCTTGTTCTTGGTAAGACTGACTTGTTCAAAAATAACCACCACCTGGAGTATCTATACTGATGGTATCACATTTTTCCCACTCAGGAAGAATATTTATAGCAGAGTCCAGACAGCTTTTATGAAAACAGAAAACACTTTCTGTACACTACTAAGAAAATCACAGCTATCCCTCCACTACCTGCCTCCCAATAAAAGCTGCAGAGAACAAAGATTTCTTCTCCAATTAAACTATCAGGAAGTCTGGTGTCTACTGACCCAAGATGACCTCTGGAGCTCTGTAATGCCGCGTAGACACCAGAGTGCTGTGATGCTCATCGTCGTACGTCGCACTTCCAAAGTCAACAACTTTGATGTCTGTGTTTTTCAGTGTGCGTTCATCGCGTTTCTAGGGAGACACAGGTGAGTAAATATGAAGATCAATAAAGACATGAAATGTTTTGGAGTACTATCCAAGAGGCTCGCATGTTAGTTCCTTTCTGATCCTCAACATAACCCCGTAAGAAAGAAAAAAGATTATTACCCTTTTGGGGTTAAACATCAGGATATAAAAATAAGCCTCAGAGGTAAAATTCCTCATCCAAGGATCACCACGCTAAACTAATTTTAAAGACAATCACCAAAATTAAAACAAGTCTTTAACTTACCATTTTAGAATTATATTTGACTACATAGTCAGACTTCACAAATAAAATATTTTCAGGCTTCAGATCTGTATGGGTTAATTTATTATGATGCAAAACTACAAAAGAACAAAAAGACATTAGTTTCATTTACAAATTCAATCTGTACTGCATGGGAGGGAGGATGAGCAGTGAATGTAGGAATCAAAAGTGGCTTCATCTTTTCTTCTAATATGTGCATTTTTAGTAACAATGTTTTGATATGTCGCTTGTATAATAAAAACTTTAATTCATTGGTGTTTAAAAATTTAACAAGTATACTTACAATTTATTGACTGGCAGATCTGATACGCCATTTGCCTGATGTGGTCAATTTGAAATGGGAGAAAGCTATTTTCTTTAATGAAATCATAGGTACTAAGTCCCAGCAGTTCAAACACAATACAAACATGACCGTGATGATCAAACCATTCTAGCATCTGGACACAGCGGCTGAAAGAGATCAAGATAAAAATGATTCAGTTCACAAAATTCTGATTATTTCACGTAACACGGCAGACCCCCGTTCCAAGTTTATACTTACAAGACACTACTGGGGTCAGTGCTATTTAAGTGCTCGAGTACTTGGATTTCTGAACGAGCTGCTTCACGGTAACGACCCACGTTTTTTACGATTTTCACCGCTACATGTATGCCATCCCTTAAAAATTAAAATTAAAATGGTAAGTGTACATGAGGGGGTTGAAGACATGTATCCTCTAAAGCACTATCTTATTAAGTACTAATTATTCCATGTTATTTTCCTAAAATAATCTTCAAGACATATGGTAACAGATGCATATAACACCTTTTCAAAACATTTTGACAAAATATACTTTATATGGAGTGATGATTCTCTTAATACTTATGTCAATGTTTGTTTCCAGAATTTTAAATTTACCTAAATTTTACAGAATACTTCTTTTTTTTGAAAAAAAGGACAGAAATATAAACCTTGAATAGAGTATGGTACTGCTGAAAAGCATTCGCTCAATCACCAGGCTAGACCTACTGTGCCAGATGGTATATAGGTGTTAGTGATAAAAACAGGCTTGTCCCATGTACCTCACAGTCTAATGGAAAAGACAGACACCTGAACAACTTATCAGGTTAGATGTGCTTGGTACAAGGTAATATGGAATAGAGAGGATAAAGAGCTCAACCATCAGGGTCAGGGGAGCAGACTCCTTCAGAAGAGGTGATACACAACTGAGCCCTGAGAAACAGCTATCAGTTTGGTAGACTTGGGACGAAAATGGAACATTCAGGCAAAGGAGACACCATCAATAAATCATGAAGCCAAAAGAAGGTTAAGCACGTTCACTGATGCCAGTAGGTAGAAACAGCTACAATGCAGGGCAGCGTGCTTCAGACTGGGCATTTGTAACCCTTCCTAACAAGTGTAGAGCCGTGAATGATTTTGAGGAAAGGGGTTCCCAGATCTTCAGCTTCCCTATGTCCTCTTTTCTAAACCTGATTTTCTTGAAGGTGGGCCAGCATTCAAGCCTTTTTCACTATGGCCTTTCCACTTCATAAAAGAAAAGAAAACCTCATGCATGGGTGATTAGTATGGCAAGGTATGTGCCCTAGGCTGTAAAAAACAAAACAAAACAAAATTTTCAGGCAAAACCAATTTTTCTAGTGGCTGGATAGCAAAACTTTTCCCATCCCACTGCTTTTAACAAGGGCTCTAGTGAAGTTGTAGGCTGACAAATCATTAAAAAATTATTTTGATGATAATTTCCCTATGCTGTAAGCATGTTATGTCGACACTTAAATAACTGCTACAAAACTGCTGTGACAAAACGTCTTCTATTTAATTGTATGGCCAAGTTTTCTAAATGCTAATAGCACAAAAAATGAAAAATGGATAAATGTGTTAGCTAACGCCACTGTAGTAATCATACTGCAGTATATAAATTTATCAACCAACATGTTAAACACCTTAAACTTACAAACTTACATAATATTATTCAATTATACATCAATTAAAAAAACTAAAATGGAAACAATGCTGAAACACTAAGATATTTATCTATGGAAACATGTACCCGTTTTTTAAAAGCCCCAACCATTCCAATAAAATATACATTTCTGATTAAATTTTGTTTTAGGTGTAATAAGTACCAAAATTGGTAACAGATTTGTACTTGACCAACTAAATACTATTAATTGGAATATCTCAAATACTGAAGTCTTGCACTATCAAGAAATTTTAAAAGATATTAATGAGACAACTAGTGAAATGTGAATCAGGACTGCATCAGATTAGCTGGAAAAATTTGAAAATACATGAATGTCTATCTAGAGAATGATAAAATACTGTAAAATGTTAACATTTGGGGAATCTGGGTGAAGAAAACATAGGAATTCTTTGAACTATTACAGTAAATTTCCTAAGTCTGAATATATTTCAAAATATCTCAAAATTTCAATTTATGTTCACATTTTTTTGAAGAGAGGAAAGGGTGATAAAAAAAGACATTTAGGATAATATTCTTTATGAAAAGTGGAGTAAAGATAAATCCAAGGTTAAAACATTTCTAAGTATTCAAGAAAAGTTTTATTTATGGATAACAGTAGGTGTTGTATTTAGATTCCCCTAAATATAGTTTTTTTTTAATTAACATTTACAACAAACTGGAAATTACATACTTCTCAACTATTTAGGATGAAAAAAATTTAGATGTCAATTTAGAAATGTGTAGTTTTGACTAAATTGTCTTAAGGGATTCACTTACAATAAAAAGCTTGCAACCACAGAACAGAGGTCCTAGAAGAAAACATTAAAATGAGGCAGAGAGGGTCAAATCACAAAGGGTTTAGTGTAACTCATTAAAAAAATCTGGACTTTATTTTGCAGGCTTTAAGTAACGTAATTCTTTATAGTTTAAGAAGCTGACTAACACACAAATACTATCCTTTGGATATAAAGGTTTTTGAACCAAGAAAATTAGATATGCTTTATTGCCTCTGTAATTCAAAAGCAGAGTAAAGCACTCCAAATCTCTCACAAAAAGCCAGGGGCCTAAGTTCTGGGAAACCCTTCACCTGAACACCCTTTACTTGAACACTCACTTTAATTTCAAAGAACTTCATCTGATAAAAATGTTCAGCATTCTTGACCAAAATCCACATTCATGGTAAATAAATCATACAAAGTTCAAAAAATTTTGAATACTTACACCTCTTCTCAGGAAAACACATACCTACCACTAAAGTACCATTTCATCTCAATTATGGATCCTTCCCCACCAAAAATATCAGAACGTTGAAAACAAACAAAAGAAACAAACTTACATGCCATGATCAATGCACTCTACAACTTTGCCAAAGGCCCCTTCACCCAAAGTGTCCACGATTTCATCTAAAGTGAGGGGGGAGAAAGAAGTGTAAGTAACGGTACAAACTATCAGTTACTCAAACAATGAATGCTTAAGTGTGGAATATTTTCAAATGATCTCTATCAAAGCATAACTAAGGTTTCAGCACTCAAATTATCTTATTTTCAGCTGCTACCGAAAACAATTAGATAGAGCTATCTTTCTTGCTCTAATCTCAAATTCCACTGATTATTTTGGAACTTTAGAGTAGAAATACTTAAACTGTATAGAAAAGAAGAAATACAAAAGAACAACAAACAAACCCACGAAAACAAAACAAAAAAGCAACGAAGAGTTCTTTAGCCCCCCGCTGACAAACTACTCTTAAAAAGATTATTCTGTCTGCAAAGTTTAAAAAGTGTTGAAAAATATTCTATACATCTTGCTCTTAGAACGTCTCCACTTTGACAGATCAGGTGACCCTCCTCATCATCCTCTATACTCCTGGATCTTTTCCTTCGGTGGCTCTTCTGGAACGGCAAGTGGGCAGCACCAAGATCGTCCAGCCAATCAATATATCAGAGTGAATTCAGGGCAGAATACGCAATTCATTCAGCGGGGAGATATTCAGGCATTCAGATAAGCACCAGGCCACGAACAGTTGGCAGGAGCAATTTCAAATTCAGTCCCCAGAAATTCACAGGGCACAGTTTATGTTACAGAAGAAAAACATGGCAAGGAACAGATTTTCAGATAAGATACTTAAAGTGGCAATAGAAAAAAAACAACACAATTGTCTCTTTAAAATACTGATTTAAGTGAAGTCTGAAATTTAAGGAACGCAATGTCATGATCTATCAATCTCGTTACAAAACAGCACATGCTGTGAGCTGGGATGTCTACTTTGTCAGGAAGATGTTTTAAAATGTCAAGATTAGTTCAAATCGTTCATTTAGCAATACTTTAAAACATACACGATTAAAAGGGGAAAATAAAAGCTAGTTAATTTCAACGTTCAATCTAATCAGAACTAGTTCTACTGAAGAAAACTTGAGAGGAAAACAGTAATTCATAGTTTATTAATCAAACAGGTGATCGATGCATGCGTGTAAAAAAAGGGCAGGCTCTCTGGACAACACATTTCCCACTCAGCACCCATGTTCAGAATCCCAGTGGAACCAGCTGCAGAAAATGATGCACTGTGCTGTGGCACTGTGCTATACACAGGGTATGGATCCACCAGTGCAACTTTCTATGTTTCCAAGTATTAGGAAACATCTTTCTTTTAAAGTAAAAAAAGTTTAAAATGAAAGAAAAGACGGGTGCTTCATCTTTTCATAAGATTATATTATAAAACATTAAAATATTTTTAATATTGAAATCAAGGGATTCATAATCTGCTCTGCAGAAAATGAGTAAATATGGGCAAATGAGGGCTAGCTAATAAACACAGATTAGTCATAAGAATTTGGAAGTTTCCTTTAAGGACTCAAGTAATATAAACATAACTATATTCAAATAGTATTATATATATAAACTTTTCCAAACTTATCAGCTCAGTAAGTGCTTTTTCACACAAATACGTATCCACCCAAAATAAAAACCAATCAATCATACCGAACGTGACTGATGACTTGAACAGTGCCTATTACGCTTCCTTTTAGGACTGCTTCTCCTGCTTCGGACTGAAGACTTACTGCAGTGGATTCGATAACTGCTTTCAATGTCTCTGTGATAATGTCTAGGAACGTATCTTTCGCAGTAGTCATTTCTATATTCATCAATGTATCTCCGGTCCCGATAATCTCTCTCATTCAAGGACCTTGCTTCTAAGTAATGACTGCAAACACATTAAAGGATTTAAAATTATTCTCTTCATTCTAGAATGATGTGGTTAAAACAAAACATTCTCTCAAGAATTCCTGGTTTAAACAGCTAACTCAATAAAAGAAAAAAAGACAAATTGATGAATTAGAATTTATACTTAAATCACAAAACTTAAGAAATAATTTTACTTTAAACAATAAGCAAATGGGTTTTTATATCTCTATTATATATGCTGCTATCAAGGAACAAAGCTTGAGCCGTATCATTCAATTGTACTGTGTTTACTTGATTAAATGTCCCTTTACCTTCTGGAGAAAGTTAAGACCAAAAATTCACAAAACTGCTCTTCTGAAATTCATCAGTCTTTTGATATATGCACCTGTAGCTAAGCTTTCTTTTCTCAGAGCCACACATAATCTGAGGCAGGCAAAACAGAATTCCTTTCTCTCTTAATGTTAAGTGAATTTTAGATATCCCTGGCACACAGAGAATTATTTCATGAAAGGTGTATCAGAGCTAAAAGGAATCTTAAATATACTTCAGCCTTTTCATTTTAGATGAGTAAATTTGAGATCCCTAGAAGGAAAATGGTTTGCCGTGGTGGGAGAGCACATTCTAACTCCTCTGTGCCACTTTTATGACACATACTACCTATCCCATCTCCCCATCTCTTTGTATTTCTAGCTTCCTGTACTCCTCTTTGAGAATAGACAACACAGCTTTTGATGGTTGCTTCATGTGCCAAAGACATCTAAAACATACCACCCTCAAATGAGAAAAGGATCTTGTAATGGCTTGTCTAGGATTACCCACCCCCAACTTCCCTTTGCATTTCGGATTTCCTGTCATTCCTGCTCGTGAAATACACAAGAATTCACGGAAAACAGCATTAACTGGTGCCATGTGCTTAACTTCTGAATCTACGGACCCCTTTCAAAATCTGATAAAAGATATGGGCCCTCTTCCCTAAGAAACGCACAAATACATAACAAAAACAAGGGATTTCAGAGGTCATGGACCTCAGGAAGTCAATGGATCCCAGTTTAGCTTTGATCTGATGGAAAGAAAAAGACATAGATTCAATTTGCCCAGTTTCCCGTCCCCCTCTCTACCTGGGATGAGTGTCCTCTTCGACAGAGTGCGAAGCTTCAAGAGGGATGCACATGGAGCACTGAGGGAGAGAGGGGACACCTGCCCAGTCAGACACATCAGCTAAAATAATCCTGACAAGCAATGGAGTGACAGATGTTGACTAGATAGCCCTCACCAACCTTCCTTTTCCCCAGAATATGCTGTTGTTCTTTTTCCCAGGGGGCTGGTTTAGGCAGAAATAAAGGAGAAGCATTTCTAAGACTGCTACTCAACAGAACTGGCATCAAATCCAGGCTGGGGAGATGCAGAAACCCCCCTTTCCCAGTGTCAGCCTTACACTCTAGCAATTGGAGAAACAGCTCAGGATATCAGGGTAGGACCTGGGTCTCGGTCAGGGATCTCATCAGCTGCTTGGAACGGTAAGGGAGAGGTCCACGATACATCAAGCTAGAAATTACCATACTCTTAAGGGCATCCTGTTTCATTCTGTAAGGCATCCTTCTGATAAAAGTCCAAAATCTATCAGGAAAAACTATCCCTAATAATCTTTAGCTGGAATAGTGCGTGAAATTAGATCTGCTGATAATTCATAAACAATCCATAGAATAATGAATATGGGGTGAAGTAATACCATGAGGATAAACTAAAAAGACGAGGACCTCTTCAATCTACAACCAAGGCTCAGAGATTATACAAACGAAGTCTACAGAATTGTAAAGGCTATATGGACAGAGTGAGCAGGGTGAACAAATTGACTTAATTTCTACAAATATTCACTGACTGTCCAGTGAAGATTTCACTGTAGTCATTCAAAATAGCCAAGACTAATGAGGTTATGAGCATTCGTTTTAATTTCCACACAGGTCCTGTGGAAGATAAAAAATATATATAAGGCAAAATCCCTGCCAACAAATAATGAACATAAACACGAAACAAAACTCAACAATGCACGAAATGCCAAAAGGTTGTGTATGAGTGCTTAGGGTAAGAGAGAGAAAAAATTCAAAATGCTTAAAATAGTTAGGGAAGATTTCATGAAAAAGAAGAGTTGCATCTCAAAGGGGGGTCAAGATTTGGACAAAGTGGAAAGCAGAAGAAATGCCAGGGGATAAAAATGGCACATTACCTTCTTCCACATTTACAGAGCACTTTCAGCCACAAGGGCTCAGAGATGGGCTTGTCTACACGTTATGGGGAAACAATGAGTAGACAATTTCAGCAAGAGCAACTTTCACATAGGGGAACAGAGACAAACAGGGGGCGGAACAGATCATCCAAAATCTTGTATGCCAGACTAAAGAGCTTAAAATAGTGTTTCTGAAAGGGTGGTCTGTTTATCAACAGTGTCAGACTCACTGAATGATCTGGTAACATGCATTTCAAGCATAACTCCAAGGTGATTCTATTCACACTAAAGTTTGAGAATCACTGGTTTAAGGCTTGATACTCTGTGTTACAGGAAGATGTTTCAGGATATAAAAACAGCATTCATAGCCACATCGGTCTTCCTTTGCAGAAGTAATTAAGCCTGTAGGAAGGGAGCAACTCATAGGCTACTTACTACCGGAAGACAAATCACAAAAGACACTACAATATATATATGAAAAAAGGTTAAGATAACTCATATACAATAAAAGTGCTTATAAACTAGTTTAAAAAAATACACTTTAATAGAAAAATGGGCTAAGAATACAAAAATAATGTTCAAGTGGTCAATATATATACAAGTTCAGTAAAAATTTTAAAATTCAAATTAAAACAAAACACTATTCTTGGCATTTCAAAATAACCAAGACTTGTGAGAGCATGAATGCGTATGCTGTAGGACTGTAACTTGGTACAAACTTTCTAGAAAAATACGTGAATATGTAGCAAGGGCTTTGTAAAAGTTCACACTCTTTAACTTGAAACTGCCCCTCCTCAGAATCTATTTTCAGGAAATAATCAGAGGCAAAGATTTATAAACAAAGATATTTTCAGAAGAAAATAATCAGAAATAATTTTACATCCGAATAATGGAGGACTAGCATCCTTTCAAGATTATCTTCCTTATGTGTTTCTGTATTTTTCATTTTTTTCAGTAATTTTATAAAAAACACTCTTGTAAAGTTTTGAATCTTGAAAGACTATGAGACTGCTTCATATTATGGAGAGCAATTATCCCCAGACATCTCTGGTGCCAATGTCAAAAAAGAAACTGTTGGTCTAGTGGTTGTTGGACTGACTCAGTATTGCTTATGTAGTTAATCATGAACATGAATGAACTGTTCATCACTTATATCACTTCCTTTCTACATACACAATGCATAAGCCCATGAGTGATTATAACTATGATGTTAAGGCTTACAGTATTTTGCATTTATTTTAATACAGGGTACAGATATTTTTCTATAGTACATTAATTAGCTCAGGTCACTGAAAGCCTGGCATAGATTCTTCCTCTTCCCTGCACATGACAGTGTGTGATGAAGAATGAGTAGTCTGCACTGACTGCCAACAAGCTCACTGTTCTGCAGAACAAGTCTGTTTTATCATGGAGAAGGAAAAAAATTACATACTGTTTTTTAAAGTAACCCCAGCTGGCTAATTTAGAAAGCAATCTGGCAAACAGTCCCAATGGAACATCTGCACAAAACAAGGAGAAAACATAAAACCAACAAAACAAATGAGAAAGGGAAATTAATGGAGGACAGAATGAAAGAAACTCTACTCACCTAGCCTTTGTTTAATCATTTAGGAACCTTAGAATTCCTTCAATTCTATATAAATGTTATTACCTCAAAATTTTACACTGGTAAGCATACAACAGAACAGGACATATGCTACTGGAAATTTTTATTGAGGCCCCTTCCTACATTACTGGCTACTGCCTACACAAAGGAATGGTTCTTATAATAGCCAAGCTTCTAAAAATCCCAAACATATCCACTGGCCTTGCCTATAAATATGACCTGTAGAATACAGTATAAGCAACTAATCCCCAACACACTTAAACAGTCTCATAGAGCACGTGCTCTTTTTCTCATCTGTATGAATTCTCCTGGGCCCTCATTACCTCTCACCTCTGTGGAACCCTAAAAAAGTGCCCCAATGTACACATCTCCCTCCTAAATACAAGTTAAAGGCACCAACTTGGTGTCCTATTACCACTTGACTTTGCCCGTGTCTCATGTCCTCTAACTACATCACTGGCAGCTGAGACTCAATCAACTGTCTCCTGAGGCTCCCAGACAGTTACATAGGGTAGGAATGCTGCTGTCTGCTGCTGTCATCACAGCTGTAACCTTAGCATTTAAAGTGCCCAGCATATAAAAGGCACTCAGTAAATATTTTCTGAATGAATATTTGTTGGCTGATTTATAGAACAATCTGACAGATGAAAGCTATATAAGCTAATGACAAATCATTAAAACGATTAGCGTTAAAATGCTACTAGTTCAAGAGTAATTTACCAATCAGATTCTTTAAACTGGTGATGTGGTTTACAATGTCTGTTCTCTTGTGTACTACTGTGGGATCTCCTCTTTCGTTTGTGACTTCCACTGTAGCTTTCATGTCCCCAGCTTTCTCTGCTGTCCCAATCAGGGCAGTGAGTTCTTTTCGAATGCCGCATCTGTTAATGGAAACGAAAAGGAAGTTGTGGAAGTTACAGATGATTATGTTTAGTAAATAAAATTTTTATATTAATTATAACACCCAGCACATGAGGTCAAAGAGGTTCTAAAATGTAAAAGCTTGGTAACACAACATTTTAAATCAACTACATTTCATTAAAATAATAATAATAAATTTAAAAATTCAAAAAATAAAAGCAGCTTGGTGCCTGTCTTCAACTAACACTTGTTAACTGCCATTTAAAAAAAAAAGAGCAAGGGTTTAAGCCTAGAGCCTTCAGTGGACAATATCTAGCTAGAAATTAATAACTTTTTTGTTTTTAAATTACCTTTATCATTACCGTCTTTCTATGATAAATTATTACTGACCTCTTAATTATTGATAGCATCAAATTATTAAGTTATTGATGATGACTTTGTGAACTAATTTACCACACATAACAAGTGTCATGCAGCCTGGGCAAAATACTGTAATATAAACAACTGAAGTCAGAGGAATACTTAGGGATACTGAATATAGGAGATAACTTTGCTTTAAAGGTAAAGAGCCATTAATGAAGCTTCTTTTTCTCAGTCAAGAGTTCCTTTCTCTAAATCTTCGAATGCCTCAAAGCTCTGAATACAGAAAGCAGAAAACAAAAAACAGGGTGTGACCAGAACACAGTATTCAATAATCAGAAGAGCAATAAAAAGTTATTTTATGAACTCAATTTCTTTTATCCAACAAGTTTATTTCTAGATCATCCTGCAGCCATTCTTAAAATTAAACATACTCGTTGTAGATCTGGAGTGACAGAAGAAATGAACCTATAAGGATGAACATGGTCACAGTGAAATCAGATAACTGACAATTCCCTAACCCCATCTACAATCTCACAGGCTCCTTTCAGGACCAGGATCTGTGTTCCAACAATGTGATCCCTATCTGCCTCTCCCCAATTCTTTCACAAAGTAGTTCTTAATAGTAATGTCCAAACTCTGCTGAACAGGGTAAGTTTCGTAACTCAGCAAGGAGTTGAAAAAAAGGTAAATTGGAGCAAAACCAGCTTACCCTCTTTCAGTTTGCCCAAATGACTCAGTAACAAGCAAACAAGTTCAAGTAAAAAATTTAAATGATTTCAAACGGATTGGGGGAAAAAAACAAAACAAAACAAAAAACTTCAAAATGAGGCATCTCCTAGGAGGTATTCCCTAAGAAAATGTAGGTATCATGCCATCAGAGCCTGAAGCCACCAAACATTCGGGTATTTTAAACCCACTTCTCTTGCTGATTCTAATTCTATGCCCATCAATCGTACATCTGATAATGTAGCATCTCTCTTAGCTCGCTTTAAAATAGGAAGAGGAGGCCTTGGTGAGGTCAAACAAAAAGTCCTCAAACCCTAGTTATGGAAATTGGGATCTGTGCACCGGAAATTGAGAAGTGAGTATTCTGACACAGTCAGAGTTTGACACAGTCAGAATTCGACACAGTCCCTTGAATATCGGAAACTGAAATAAATGATACTACAAATTAATCTGAGCCAAAAGCCATCAGAAAAGCCATAAAAAATGTATTTCTAGTGGAATTCTTCTGACCTTCCAATTACCCAAGTTGTATTTTAACCACATAAGAACTCTTTAAATTTTAATTGCTTAGTTAAGCGTTCTTAAATCATAGCAAGCAAAGTCACATCTCATGACTGAGGGTTATTATTATGACTATTATAATGCAGTTTTTGCAAAGCATGTGTCTCCTTCAGTTTTGTTTTTTCCCTTCTACTGGCGGTCTGCCATAATTAGCTCACCTGTAACAAGGCAGAATTCTTAAATAACCAAAGTTATCAATATGCAAATACTAAAATAAGAATAAGCACCTTGGGAGAGCCAAAGACTTTTCTCTCTTTAGCCAAGTTCACTACTTCAAATTTAATTCAGCTGTTAGGAAGTGCCGTGTCGCACTCCCCACTCCCCTCGGGGCCAACTAATACTTGCTCAGTTTTCTCAAGAGGCCAAGACAAGAATCCCAGACCCAGGTTACAAAGATAAGGTTCCTCCGCATACACAAAAAAGAAAAATTAAAATTACTACGCTACCTCTAATTAATAAAGACTCCTACATGTTAGAATCAAGAGACATCTTTTAATAAAAACATCACACACAACAAATCTGAATGTATAAATCAGTCTCAGAAATCTGATTCTCTACTGCCCTTTAACACACTATAATACCCGACAATTTTAATGCCATGTATACGGCTTTAAAATAGCTGTATGAGTTAAAGTTATCATTAGACGGCTCCAGGAGGACTGCATTTAAAAGGTAACAAGAAGCCCGTGGGTGTATGTACGGAGCACGAACATACAAAGACAGCTACAAAGCAAGACCTGGTAGGTGGCTGACCCGGTCAGCCTCGTGTGCTGTTTCCTAAGGATGGGGAAGCATACCGCGGTTACTTAACTAATCAAGGACAGCGCAGGGCACAAATATCAGAAACGCAGATCTGCTGCAATAATGTTTTGCTCCACCTTAGGAAAAAAACCGGTTCGCACAAAGAATTCTAACTCCCACGAGCCCGAGCTAAATTCCACCACCTGGACTCGCAGCTCCCGGACGCCCGGTCCCCACCCCCCGCCTGCCCGCCCAGGGCACCCGGCCAGGGCCTCTGGCGCACCCACAGAGCCAGATGTCCGACTCTGGAAAACCCCCAAATGCCACAAACGGCCAAGACCAGGCCCCCAGGGGAGGGCTCGATCCACGAAAACAAACCACCGGCGGCTCCCGCGTCAGGCGCTCGCTCCGGCCTCCGCAGCCGGGATGGGAGCGGCGGGGCCCCACAGAGCAGGGTCGCCGGCAGAGCCGAGGCCTTCCTGCCCCAGGGCTTTACATCTACCTCAACACTTGGGCAACTTCAGGTTGTAAAGGCCACAAGCAGAGCTGTGCCCAGAAGGAACCCCACTCGCCGAGGCCCCGGACCCGGCCGTTTTTCCGACACCTGACTTCGACATTTACAAGACTGGGAAACCGGGCAGCCCTGCGCACCCCACCCAAAACCTTACCTCCGCGAAAGGAAAAGGCCCTTTGGCCGAGAAATGTCGCCAAACCGCCGTCTTCTCTCTCCAGCCGCTGCGACAAACACCCTACAAAATGGCGGCAGCGCCGTCTCCCTACAAGCCCCCCCGGCGGCCTCTAGCTCCGCCTACACCGCGCGAACGCGCCTGCGTGACAGAAGCCTCGCGCGCTCCCGCAGCTCCCTGGGGGGCGGGGCTCCCAGTGACGTCGGGGGCGGGCCCGGCCCTTCACAACGCGGCTGCGCGGCCCCAGCGGCCCCTCCCTGGGATCTGCTGTACCCCAGGCGTCCGCGGCAGAAGCCGGGTGAAACCGGGGGCAAACGCCGGTGCTCTGCCCTAATCCTGTGAGGCTTGTCTGCTCCTCCACGGGGGGTTATTCTGAGTGCAGCACCTTTCGGCAGAGCCAGCCGTGCCCTCCCTCCCGTGTTTCCTGCTCTCCCGCCATACCCGAGGACCTAAATCCGGACACAGCCACCACACAAGAGATGATCAGCCCCCAAACCCACTCTGCCCAGCCCGGGCTGGCTCGAGGGGCAGTTCAGTGAACGAGACAGTGTAGTCCAGCCCGCTTGGGACTTCCTGTCTGAAAGCGGATTCGGATAAAGAGAATGTCTCAGGAAACAAGCCCAGGCTTGCTTATCTTTTTAAGGCCAGTGCTCCTAATCACAACAACAAAAAAAGGAAGTTTCATTTGAGACTCCTTACAGGGTTTTTCCTGTTGTGGTCCCTGCCTCCTGGGCAGATTTGGTAGCTGGAAGTTTCCCTAACGAAGTTTCCTGCAATATTTGTCCCTGCAGATCAGTTTTACATAACCAAGGTACAGTAATGTCTGAGACTCAGTGAGCCCCGTTAAGGAGCTTGCTTACCTCAAATAAAGTATTTTGCAGTTCTGAGAATCCCCAAACTGTTCCCGGTTGTGAGCATGTACAGTGAGAAGAAAGAAGGCCAAAATCAGCCCTGGGGAACACTTTTAAGACACAGAGGAAAAGGGCCTGAGAAGGAATGGTCAGAAAGAAGAGGAGAACCAAGATTCTGGTATCAGAGCAACGGGAGAGAAGGGCTTAAATGAGGGAAAGGCTGACAGTGCCGAAAGCTGGGAAGGAGTCAGGGAGGGTCGATGCTAAAAAGCATCAAGGCAGTTTTGTGTTCTGACAAAGATTCAGTGTATGAAAGAGAAAGTCGGAAATCCAATCTGGGAGGGCAGGATTGGGCTGTTGTGAGCATAAACCCACCAGCACATGGGAGGCCTGAATTCTTGTACCTTGTTAGGTGAAAGGAGGGCACTGTGATTTCATGATCTGACATTGTAGAAACTTGTGCCACCTACACTGGATGGTTTGAATTGTCACAGAGATTGCACCCACTTAAAGAAGTGAAGTTGAAAAGATAATTGGAAAATTGGAAGTGAAAACTCTTTATGCTGTAGGATGAAACAGACAATATTAGTCTCCTCACCTGGAATAGCCACCATTTCTGCATCTACAATTTCAAATTACCCATCCTTTGAGGTCCATCTCTAAGGTGCTGTCTCTGATTACACCAGTTCCCACCCATCTCTCTGCTCATGACTACTCCAGTTAGAGATGAGGCCTTCAATCAGCTGGCCAAGGCACGCTGGTGTGCCTGAAGCTGGTGAGATATGCTGACCAATTGTGCCAGTGGAGTGAAATGTATTGGTTCTACAATTGATTATACGTGCTGTTTCAGGGACATCTATCACTGAGTGAACTGGGCCATCCTGCAAAGTAAAGTTGGGCTCAGCTTTAAATTAACCTGGCACCAAAGAAAATCCTCTGTCCATCTTTGCTTTTTCCTCTGGAGTATGAAGGTATTTTGTTTTATGAGGATGTAAGAGAATGTGGTCAGGGCAGTGCACAGTTCTGCTCAAACAGCAACATGAAGTTAAAAGACAGCCAAGTGAAAAGGCCACCTACAGAGGGGTTTATAGACATCAGCAAAGAACGTTACCCAGTAGTGGAGGGGTCTGTTTCGTAGTCACTGCTCCCTTGTTTTAGTGTCATTTTGAGGATTTTAAGTGTGCCCACAAAACGTGTAATGTTTGAAAGTGTGTGGCGACCATAAGGAGGTGGAGAATGTCCTCGGACCAGCGTCTCTCTGTTACTTTTAGGCTGCTCCCTGCGCTACGTGCTTTGGCTGGAGGCAAGGACCTGACTTACGTTACCTTCGGTATCTCAAAGCCTATAGCCCAGTGCACATTTGTAGGCTGTTTGGGTAAGCTGCTTTTGGCCCTTTTGCTCAGTTTGTTTCAGTTGGATTAAATCAAAGATAGAAATTTACTCCCAGAATCCCTGGGCCAGTTGGCTT